TTCCTTCCTTCCTTCCTTCCTTCCTTCCTTCCTTCCTAAAAGTTGGACATTAGGTCTGTTGTTCTTTTTGTGATCTCCAGTTACTTTGTAAATTAACCTTTCATTTGGTTATATTGTTCTATGCTAAACATGTAAGGGGTTTATCATGTCTTGAATCAACAATAGGAATAAGCTCCACCCTTCCCCAATCACAGGATATCTGTCATCCTATAATTAATCTGTAATATCATGAGCAAAATAAATGTATTTATTTTATTTTCTAGCTGTTATATTTTTTTCATGAAAGTTATGAGCAGTCCATAAAATCTCATGTACATTCACCATTAAACCAGGAATGTTTCTTAGCACTATTCCAGAAATAAGTCATTATTTAAATGAAAAAGAAGAATTGAAATTAAACATTGCAGTTCTTAACAATGAGATAGGAAAATATGGAGAAAGCACCACGATTTCCCAAAACTGGTTGTTCCAGCGATTTCCAGGGTGGAGAGTGGCTTTGTGTTTTCTGCTTCTTAGTGGTTCAGTGTTTATGTTCTTATTTATAATTTTTCCTCCCAAAGAAATGAATGGGAGAGAAGCTGTCTATAATAGCACCAAACGCATATGGATCAATTGTCAACTGCAACAACTAATAAGAGAAGCCAGAGGATCTAGGATTGAATAGATCTAAGCCTTAATAACATACCACTAGAATATTCCATTTCAATTCCTGTCAAGTATAGAAACATTGAAAGTGGAAGTTCTACAGCCTTATGTTTTCCAGTGGCCTCTTCAAGGCTTTTGAGGCACATAGCATCTTCCCCCAACTATGGAGCTTTCTTTTTGGCAGGGGTTAATGTTCAGTAGCATCTACTGGGGATGGGTCAGAACACACCAGATGGTGGACATGGCAGTCCTATCCAAGCCCCATCTTGTGTCAACATTACACACACATACAAAAGGTGTGAGGCTTGGATCATGATGCCATGTCCACCACTGTGTCCTTTTTGCTTTAAAACTAGATAGTTTAGGCCTATAAGACATTGATTCTACATCATAAAACAGTACGTGTGGTATGCTTTTAGAGAAGACAAAAAGTATCTGGAACCTTTTGGTAATCATAAATAAACATTCTTAGGATTAAATAATAGTGCAATACATTATGAACTGTAACTTGAAATGATTAGAATATATGGCACTCTAATTTATGAAGATCTACTTGCTTCAATCCAGTCACCAAACTTAATGAGCTAAGGAAATAGAACAAGGAATGGTATTTTATAGGTTATTCTATTTTTGCACAAAAATAGAGTACACTTTTTTTTTTCTTTTTAACTTACCTTTCCTACAGAAAATGAACCATTTTCAGTTCTTTTCTTGTTGGCTATACAACTTGTAGACCAAACTAATTTACAAATTTCTATTTACTTTCCAGTTTACAGCAGAAGTGAAATGTAATAAAATCTTGGGGTTGTTCTTATATATTCATTACTGAAGAATTGGATTGTCTCCATTATTGACTGTTGCCCATTATATACCATTATGCAGTTAATGGGGAATACATTAATGGGAAAGGCCATGATTTCAATGTGACATTGTTTGTATGTTAGAGGTCCTAGGTCCAATTTATGACACTCTGAAACCCTGGAGAAGAGTAATTGTAAGTCCTATTGAATTACTAGCTGGATTGCTCATGTAATTTTGTATAAGGGAGCTTATATTGTTAAAAATAATCAGAAGTTTCTATTATACAATATGCTATTAGGATAAAGAGTAAAATTCAAAGAAATAAGAGGCAGAACATGTATTGTAAGCAATTGTTTGTATTAATCCAGTGTTCTCATTTGCCTTTAAATCATAATAACCATGAACCAAAACATTACGAGTCAAAGTAACACATCTTATGAGAACATCAAAACACTTGGTTAATCACATTTCTTTTTTTAAATATAACTTTATTGAAATTTTAAAAAATAAAGATAAAAACTAACAGAAACTAATATTTAGAATAAAGAAAAGAAAGAAGAAAGAAAAGAGAAAGCCAAAAGCACAGAAAAGAAAGGAAAAAAATATAAAGAAGTAGCTTTCAATTTTCTTTACAGCAGTGATAAGGATAAATGTAAATTAACCTCTTACTCTATGCTTACAGCAAGACTTTAATTTTTTCTATATTTTTTTTCTAATCATGAAAACCATATATCATAAGTTCATTTTTTTTCTGTTTCACACAAAAAGTCTATGAAGGGTTTCCAGTCAGCATTAAACTTAGATAATGTCATCAAAGATGTCAGTTTGGCCCTCTCAGCAAGTTCCATCATCTTCACCAACCATTCCTCCATTGTGGGTAATGTCAAATCTTTCCACCTTTGTGCATTTAATAATCTTGCCGCAGTCATCATGTATAAAAATAAAGTTCCATGGCTTTTTTCCAACTGTTTATCAGTCAGTCCCAAAAAAAAAAGCTTCTGGTTTCAATTGTATATTAAAATTTAAAATCCTCTGAATTAGTGCATATAGTTGAGTCCAAAATTTTCTGGCTTTTTCGTACATCCACTACGCATGGTAAAATGTCCCCTCTTGTTATTCACATTTCCAGCATAAATTTGAAGTACCTTTATTCTAGACAATTTCTCTGGTGACATATACCAATGATACATCATTTTATAAAAGTTCTCTTTGAGATTATAACACAGTGTACATTTCAGTCCTTTCAACCATATATTCTTCCACTGTTCCATTTGTATATTGTTACCAAAATTTTCAGCCCATTGCATCATACATTTTTTCACTTTTTCAATAGGAGTTTATAAATTTTAGCAATAACATGTTCATCATTTCTACACAAGTTTACTGTATTTCAAACTCAGTCTGTATTTCAAACTTCATATTTTTTGTTAACATCTTTGTCTTCTGTTTATTAATCTTGAAATCTGCTAATGCACCAAATTCTTTTAGTTTTCCCATTAATGTTTCAATTCCCTTTAAAGGATC